ACTGTATTAATCATGTATGAACTGCGTACTGAAAAACTGACCAAATCTGTCCGTGATGATTTGCTTTTTGTAACGTCACATTGCCTAATGCTTGTGATTAAGTGAGGTTAATTTACAGGAGCCAGATTCTGGAGAAAATTACATATGTGTTCGAGTTTATGCACTCTGGGATAAATCCAAGCTCTGAGAATAAGTCACTGGAGAATTTTGCATTGACTTCAGTGTCATTAGGGTTTCACTGTCCTAATTACCTAAGTGGCAGTACTTACAGGGTACATAATAAATTTCCGGAATTAGGTTTAGGAGCTTACAAACCTTCTTGCAATATCTGCCATACTAAATTATTAGTAAACTAGGCTAGATTAACTAGGTAGTAATTAGTGCGGTTTTTTTCTTTTCTGCCGAGGAAGAAGTGCTGTTGATTTGACGGCCGGTTGGAGGGGGCAGAAGTTAGCTGGCTTCTGTCTGTGGGTAGCTCGCTGGGTCACGCTAAGAGAATACTCGTAAACAGGATGAAAAGAGGCAGGCAAGGTGCAGGCGCCCATCTGGTCACCGAGTGTCGTACCCCACCACGTAACCCCTCCATGGCCGCAGGCACCCGAGAGCTCCGTGCGCGGCGTGACCCATCGCGGTGACGCTCCGAGTCCGCTCGCGGGCCGAAGGAGAAGTTGTGCCTCGCCGGGGGTTTGCAGGCAGCGGCTGCCTTCCGCGTGGTGGGAGACGGCCGCGGTACAAAGACGGCGACAGCGGGAAGGCTTTGGCCAGCTCCGCTTCCATTGAAAAAATATTTTCCAGCAAATTCACAAATGCAATAAAACTGTATTTTATTATTTGCTCTTCGTAACTGTTTATGTCCAAGAACAATTTTCATCTTGCTAAGCTCTCAATTTCCCAGCTGAAGAGCTAGGGTGTTTTTGAAAATGCATCTTTTTCCCCAGCTAGAGCTTGCATTTTCGTAGAGCTTCGTGGTACGTGTTTTAGACCGAGTTCCTTCTTTTTGTCTGTAGCTGAGATAAAGAATTAGTAGTTTAAAACAATAACTACATGTTCCACTATGATCAAGGAATTAGATAATCTGGCATGTTTGCTTAAGGGGTCTGTATCTTGGGGCTTTTATAGGGCAGTATTAAAGCCCTGAGCCTTCTTATTATGCCAATACCCAGAAGATTGCTTTAATGAGAAGTAAAGGGCCTTTTTCCAATTACAAGGGAATAACTGTATTAAGTTCCTGTGTTATGTCAACCTGCTTTGATTTGATTACTGCGAAAGAAATGGATTTATCTGTCAGTGTTACTTAATTAAGCCTTCTCATTGATGTTTTGCAGAGTAATATAGTGTAGTTTGCACATTTAAGTCTAAATACAAAGAAAATTGGTCGAAAGCTAAGACGCGACCCCTGAAGATAAGGCACAAGAGCTATTGCTTGTCATTTTCTGATCAGAGTCTAGAATTTTTAACTTTGGTGGAAGAACTTGAGCATTATATGGGCTCAGATTAAAGCAAGGCAAAGGGCAAGGAATGTTCAGCCGAATTTGAGATGGCTGAAAATGTTGGAGTCTGGGCAAATCTTACAGAATTATCCTGTGAGGTTAGTCTTCTAATCTCTACCTGATACAGTGTGCTTGGGTATGTAGAGCGATGTCTGCGTACCTTTACCGTCTGTCTTCCCTTGATGCATCCCCAAAAGCCGTCCCTCTCCCTGCCCAGGAGCGTCCTTCCCTCTTGGCGGTGCTTCCCCTGCCTCGGCAGGACTTTCTCCCCGGGTTAGTCTTGGCTGTGCCCAGGGACTCGCTCTGGGACGTTTGCAGAGGCGAGGAATACCCCAGCCCTGAGGTGTGTGTTGTTCCCGTGGTATTTTAAGCATCTGATAGTGCCCTCTGGTCATTGGCACGCTTGGCTCGAGGGAGAGGTAGGGATAGCGCAGCAAAGAGTACCAGAAAGGATAGCCGAGCAGGAATTCAGCTCACCACAAAAACATATGTTTAACCGTAAGCATGTAAATAGTTCCTTTCACGTCATTGGGACCGTCCAGCGGTTGGCCATGAAGCCGGTATTTCCATGCGCTGCTGGAAAGTACCAGGCATCTTCGGGAGCGTGGCGGCCCTTCCCTCTGCCCAAAAAAAAGGGTTTTTGAAGAACATGACTCTGAATAAGCTGCACGAGCAGGTTAAATAGCACGTCTCAGCCCAGCGTGTGCTGAAGGGGGTGGTAGTGGGCTCCCAGGTGGAGCTGGGTGGGGGGCTGCCAAAGGGAAGGGCTCGGCAACCCAGTGCACCCCTTGCTGGTGTGGGGATGCTGTCCCTCCTGGGCGCTGAGGGCAAGAGCAGGGTTACTGCTCAAAACACGGCCCTGCAATGTGTTATTTTAGGTGACGCATTATAGCGCCCGAGACCCACGGCATCTATATTCTTAGAATAGAAATAAAAATGTACAGCATAGCAGTCTGAAAACCTTTATTGGCGTGGAAATCTTGCTCCTAGCACTGGCCATGAGCCAGCATAAGGGGCCTTCACAACACGTATTATTTTAGATTAGCCGACTTTTACAGAAAAGTATGTTAATAAATGAAGTTCCTAACAGGGAGCTGTGTGAATGAGGCCTCCTTGTTCGTGAAAGCGGAGCTCCCCGGGTGACGCCCCGTGCAGAGCCCTTCGCTGGCGTTGCTCTGTCCCGTACGCTCCGTTTTGCAGGAGCGGGCCCGTGGGTCTGCACGAGAGAGGCGAGAGCGGGACGGGGTGAAGCCAACCCGCCGGCGTGGGTTCGGCGCCTGTCCGGCGGCGGGCTCGGACCTGCCGCCCCGTCCCCCGGCTGCCGTTCCCAGGGGCTGAGCTGTTTGGCTGGCTGAGGGACTTCGGAAGCTCTGCTTGAGGGTGGGCCGATGCCCACCGAAGTCGGGGATAATATCCGCTGAATTTTAGCAGGCAATGGATCGGGGCTCTACGGAGTTAATTGCCTGTTACATAACAGAAATGATTTTTAAAAATATGCCTAATTAACCTAATAGAATGGTTGATCTGATCTGTCAGGTAAATGATACACATTTTCTTTCTTTTTCTGGAGCTTAATTAAATATTTACCTAAGAGTGTCTTGTGCTATTAACACGTTCATCTGTTATTGAGATAATAGGAATTGTAATTGGGGGAAAGTATTAAACTATACAAATGTGTGGGGTTTGTTTTCTTTTTTTTTAATCTTGGAAATCAACCAGATTTGGTCACAGCACCCATATTTTAAAGTGCTAATGACCACATCTGTTTCTCAGACAACTGAAGTTGCCACCGATCCTAGAAGCCTGGGTGCACCAGTGCAGAGGTGGAAAGGGAGCTGCTGGCGTGCGTAGTCTTCGGCAGCGCTCTGGGGAAGTTTCTCTAGCCAGCGAGACCGAATACGTATTTCTTCCGATTAGATTAAAGCTACTGTTTGTGCATGGCAGAGGGCGAGCAATGTTGTTATTTCATTAGGATGCCAGTGGGTACACAGGAGTAAGTTGGAAAGTAGCACTGAAATGTGCAATAATACTGTTAGAGATCAATGTCAATCACGTTTCCTGATATATTTAGCATGCTGTAAGTAAAAAAGTAATGGATTCAAGCAGTATGGTCCAGTCCATCAGCGCACTAAAGGATGTGCTTAGTGTTAAGCATGAGTGATCTCATTTACTTGAATTAACACGAGAGTGAACTATGATTTCGGTGGAATTATTCACAGGCTTCCATTAAACCTGTGCACAAGTGCCTCGCTGAACTGGTGTTATGTTTAGCCATTAAGTTTTTAGCCAAGTGGAAAGTCTCAAGAGGCTCCCGACTCATTTCAGTAAAGGTTTGACGATGGCAGTAGTTGTGCAAGCGCATCCCGGCATACTCGAGCACGCTGCAGAGGATCGTCTGCTTTCAGCACCAGCGGTAGCCTGCGGAGTCGAGTTCGTGGGCTTCTCCTGGGCCTCGGTGCAAGGTGCGCGCTCAGAAGTAGCGTGGCCAGCCTGGAGGAGCACATCACCGCCTAGGGTACCCGAGAGGGACAGCCCCGTGCAGAGCATTCATATGCAAAATGTGTCTGTAACCTGATTTTTGTCACGGCAAACGTAGCGTTGCAGTCTAGCTAGCCTCTTGCATCCCACGATCCGGACGCAGGCTGCAGTGGCTGACGAGCGAGGCTCACCCCGCCTCGCCTTCCTGGGGTGACCATCGAGCTGTCCCTTTGGCACGCGGATAAAATGCAGACAAGAAAATGGCAGGCTGAGACATTTCTGTGTTTTGTTGCAAAGTTAAGAGGAGTTTGTAGGAGTCCTGGTTCTTTGGTCCGTACCCTAAACGGCAGGTTTCACCACGTCCTAGCACGTATGCAATGGGACGTGGTACTCCTAGAGACCCCCCCTCAAATGGAGGGGGAAAATGGTTAACACCGCCCTGAGATGGGCTCTCTGAAATTACTGGAGTGTCTCCCCCCCAGTCGTCGCGATGAATTTCCTCTCATACGAGAGAGGGCAAGGCAGAAATGCCCCCTCTGCGCTTGGCTTTAGGAAGGTGCTTTTCTCTTCTTGAGATACAAACGTGTGCCCAAATGCTCATCTGCAGCAGAAGCCTAGCTGAGGTGGCGAGAGGTACGTTTACCCCAAACGTGCCTTGCTTTAACTTCTAGGTTTCGTCTGTTTTATCGTGTTTTATTTTTACTGTTTGACAATACCTATTTTTGTGCTGGAGATCTTGGTAGGATTTTAACTGGTACAGTGCAGTCACTTTTTAAAGTGTCGAGAAACACTGAGCCGCTGAAGTAATTTTTATGTTCAAACCTCAGGTTCCTGAGGGTCCAGTTCATTTCTGCTGTGAATTTAAATGAGTTAATTTAAGCAGTGGGTCAGAAGCCACTACCATCGTAGTAGCCCTGTGCCTGATTCTTAATTAAAGGCAACAGGAGATTAATTTGAAACATTAATTTAAAAGTGCCTATACAAAAGGAAAGAATTATTGCAATAAAGCCTAAAGAACTTTTTTGTCCCTAGATGTAGAAGACAGAACTAGCTCAGGGTCCTGGGGGAATACAGGACATCCTAGTCCATCCAGGGTAAGTATATCTAATCTTTTTCCCCAAACCAGACTTCCTGCATATGTAAATTGACAATCTTAAATATGAGCTTTACACCTGATTGCGTAGAAAAATGGGCATGCAAAGTTGGCTGTAGCCTGTCTTCTCTTTAAAATTGCCTTTTTTTTTTTTTTTTAACATTCAAACCTGATCCTGTGATTGAATTTGGCACCTGCTCTGCTACTTCTAACAGGTAGCGAGAATATTAATTAACCATTTTTTTCTTGGGAGGCCCCATCAAGCACCGCCACCACCCAGCGTGCGGGTGGAGCAGAGATGTTGCTGCCGAACGTTTGTTGGATTTTTAGGGATGGCGGGTGTCGCCAGACCTGAGGAGGGGGCCAGCGCCCCTGCCTTGGGCAGCACTCATCCCCGTGCCAGGGCTCGCTGGCCACTCCAGGGCTCGCTGGCCACTCCAGGGCCACCCCAGGGCCCAGCGAAGCTGGAGAGGGGCCGCCAGGCCTGTCCCACCGTGCCCTTCCTGCAGTGCACCTCAGCCGCTCCGTGCCTCCGGTGGGGGGGTTTCAGACCCTTCTCCTCGGGCAGGGGCAGCTGGGCCTTTCAGCCACGTCCCCCCGACTGCTGGCACCATCCGAGCTCTGGGGCAGGTAGCCCGGCTGCTAGCCACCTGCCCACCTCTGCTGCGGACACTGCTGAGGATGGGGCACGGACGTCTCCCGTGCTCCCCACCTAAGAGTGGGATCCCCCTGCGGGGAATGCAGCCACCGAGCCGCGCTCTGGCACGGCGATACTCGGCGTTTGCTGAGATTTGCCAGACAGCTGGACTCAGTCATTTTGATTGTGGCTGTGCACAGTTATCCAAATTCTTTAGACACCTCCAGTCGGGATGCCGGTTCCTTCGGTGGCGACAAAGTGCTATTTCCAGCAGAGCAGCTGTGCGGTTCGCCCCGAGCAGCACGGTGTGGGCAGCCCCGCCGATGGCCCTCGCAAGCCAGCCCGGCAGCCCCGCTCCCCAGCCGGAGCATCCCGGCTTCGCCCGTCCTTGGGGCTGGGTACGGCTTGTGCTTCAGTACCGAGATGATTATTTCTGTTTACTTCCTGCACATGCATGAAGTACACTTACGCTGGGCAAAAAGCGGCTTTGCTCTTACTTATGCCCTTACTTAAACAGTTTGTTTAAATTGCTTTTTAATTGTTTTCTAATTAACGTGAAGGATCAGGGCTCGCGAGCAGCGCTGCTGGGAGCTCGGTGCCCTCGAGTGCCTGTGTGGCGAGGAGAAAGGCGGTTGCCCTGTTCATCCTCGGTCCGTCCTTTCCCATTGGGGCAGGTCCTGCCCTCGGCGCACCTTACGCCAGCTGAGGTTTTCGGTGGGCGTCCGCAGCGCTGCACCGCGCCGCGGGCGGCCGAGGGGGGTCCCCCATTTACGGCGTGGCGGGGGGGCCCCCGCCCCGCCCCCGGGGGGGGGGGGGGGGGCCCCCCTTTTACGGCGTGGCGGGGGGACCCCGGCCCTGCCGCCGAGGGAGGGAAGCCCGACACCTTTTCTTATTCCATCCTGCTTAGCATCCATTACGTCATTACTGCTCACATCTGTCAGTTTTATTTTTATCCCTTTTTTTTACTTGACACTTGTATTGCTTCCGAGGGAAAAATGTTTTGAAAAGTAAATTCTAAATTTGCACACACAATTATTTATGCATGCAAAAACTTGAATGTGAGTGTACAATTAAGTTTTGAGAGATAAAGAAAAGAGCACGAGCCTGGGAAGAATTCTGGAGTTTCAATCAAGACTGTGCATTAACTTGCAGTGTTATTCTGCAAACAGCCTGACCTCTCTCTCTCTCTCTCCTGCTTTGTAAAATGACGATGGTATTTCCACATTGGGAGAATTCGTTTCTCGTGAGTTCTCCTGAACCGAAGAAACAAAACATGACCTAACTGCTGCCCTCGGCCAGTATTTGTAGTTAAATTTCAGATTTTGCTAATGGAGTGACTGAACGCAGAAGGTTACACCGAGATGGTTCCAAAACGTAGGGGCCCGATCCTGGCGAGGTTTTGTACCTCCTCGACTTGCGGGTAGCGGGGCTGATGCTGTTGGTCCCCAGAGAAGTGCGGAGGGGTACCGAGGCAGCGCAGGGCAGGAGGGGGTCGCTGCCGCTCGCTAGCCACGCACGGAATTGCCCGCATGAAGGACGAGTGCTATGCGGGGTTATTTTTTCAGTGAGAATCAACTTTCCACGCCCACTGCGAAAAAAATCCTCATTTTTTTATAGTGCAAGTATATAGCAGTGAGGTGATTAAGACTGCAGATTTCTACATAAAAATAGATTTAAAAAGCAAAATGTTAATAAGTATTTCTTTGCTGTTCTTGCATATGTTACGGGCAAGGAGACTTCTATGCTAAGAGAGGGCTTTATGCTGAATTGCACAGCACGAAATTCCAGGAACCTCATCTCGGTCACCCATTCAGGATAACCCACACAGCAAACCCAAGTCAATTGCTAATGAAATAAAAAATTTGAAACAGCTTTAAAAATGTTCTGGAACGCATCACTTCCAGCAGAATCAATAGGGGAAAACAATAAAGGGAACAATATTTCTCATAGCTGGCTTAAAACTTAGAAGGGAAATACGGACCTGTAGGTTTTGAAAAATGCCGTTTAAACTTGTAAAATTGTGTTTTTCTCCCGATTTGTTAACAGAACTATGGAGATGGGACTCACTATGATCATATGGCGAGCAGAGACCTTGGGTCGCATGACAATCTCTCTCCTCCCTTTGTCAATTCCAGAATACAAAGTAAGAAATCGAATTTCCTAACTTGACCGCGTTATTGAAACTGAACCAGAAATAAAATTCTGAGGGCTTAAATCCCTCGTCCTCATTTTTGGGGTTGATTGTACTTGGCATAAGGGTGGGAACATGGATTTTTATTTTTTTTTTTAAGCTATCGTGCAATTTCAAAAATGTACACCGATGATGTTTATCGAACAGGCTGTGTTTTCTTGCTGCGAGAGGGATGTGACTCTCGATGCAGTAACTGCAGTATTTGCTGAAAGAGGTAAATGGTTGTTCCTAAGGCTCAGCCTTTCCTTTTCAAAGAAGCGGCCAGTTGGCAGAGAAAATAAGGCCGTGCTCTGAACAGGACTTTTAAAGTAGAAAAGGATTTCTGAAAGTATGATAGATCCACGTTGACGAAAGGGAACAGATAAATAACTGGTGAGGGACGCCGAAGCCATTGTTTGCTTTGGAGCACGATGGATCGCTGCCTGCTGGGACCTGCGAGCTGCAAACTCCTGGATTTGGGGCGAGGGTAGCTGCAGCCTGCTCTGCTTCAGAGGAGTGAGATTTTGCCCAGGGCGTTTGGCAAGGACCCTCCTTCCACCCCACACCCCATGATAGAAAGTTTTGACACCCCTGAATAATCATTTAGCTTAGCAGCAAACACCACAGCAGTATGAAGAGAGGCTATAATTATTCGTAAGTGAATGATAGCTACTTTCTTTAATTACGGTTGATAAATGAGTTTGGTTAAAGTAAATATATGATGTAAAAATATTAGTAATGCTTATGCTTGGCCAAGATCACACCCTTCTTCTGCAGTTGTCAATGAACTAACCAAATGCTTTGCTTTAAAGGGTTGAACGCGAGCCAAAAAAAACATGGAGCTGTAACTGCGATATATCATTCTTCAGCTCTAATATATGTCCCTAAAATATGCCTTGTCTTTTAATATCGGGAAATATTTGTGAGTTGTTTAACATATGGGACAATGTTGGAGCTTGTAGTCATTTGTATGTATTCACGTACAAAACATGGTTACAACAGTTTTAAAGGGTCTAATATAAGCCAAAAAAAGCATGGAAATTTCAACACTCCCTTCTTAACTCACGCCATGGGGCTTAGGTAGTGCGCAGAGACGCTTCGCAAATAGCCACACGCTTCTGTGAAACCCACTGGGCTGCGTGGTGCTTTCAAGTTTAACCTTTAATTTGAGCCTTTAGAACTTAAAAGTCTCGCTCTCTCTTCTGCCTGCCCTTGGGTTACAGAAAAATCTCATTCCTGCCTCTGATTGTTTTTGCCAATCTTAGTGAAAATACTGGTTTCACTCGATTTAAGAAATAGTTGTTTTATAAAAACACGTTCGGAGGCACCCGGTTAAAGAATTAAGCCGGGTAATACTCTGATGAGGAGCTTTGCAAACCCTGATGTCTCCAGGCGGTCCCGCTGGTCACTGTCAGGCTCCAGCCGGGGGTGCGAGCCAGGCAGCGTGGCAGCGTCCTCGCCGTGCGTGGTCCTGACATGCCCTGAAATTTTTTGGTTTTTATGAGATTTGGTAATTTCAACTGGAAATAAGACCAGTGATGTTCCTATACGCGCAGATTAACGCGTGTGCAAGCGGATGGCGAGCGCCTAACAGCTTTTGACAAGTGCGCTATCGCGCAATAACGCGTGTGCGCTGCCGGGGCCGTCAGCTGCCTCCCGCAACCCACGGCATTCTGCAGCCTTGCTTTAGCAGAATTCTCTGATATTCAGAGCGGATTCTTCTTCATTTGTCCTGTTGGGGCAGCCCTTCGCTCCCCAGTTTTGCTCTGCTGCTGGGCGCGGGGCGTTGGTGCTGGAGGAGGAGGGATGGGTGCTGGGGTGCGGGCACGTTTCCCTCCCGCTCAAACGCCTCCGAGGGCCTCGGCCGGGAGGTCTGCTCCTGTGCCGTGGGGGAATGGAAACCCCGGGAGGTCTGCTCCTGTGCCGTGGGGGAATGGAAACCCTTAACCGGCACCGGGACAGGCGCTGTGGTTAGCGACCGTGTGTGTGGAGCATTGCCCTAACAAAGACCGCTGTTGGTCTGTGCCGGTCATGTCTGCATTTGTGATTTTAGGAGAAATCTGAATATTGTGGTGATGAACAACGCACAGCGCTGTTTGCTCGGACGGAGGCCGCTCGGATGCCGCCTCCCGTAACTCCAAATGTATTTTATCATCTCCCTTTTCCTGGCAGGTCGTCGAACTCCTCCAAGGAAAGGTCCTTTAAACGCTGGTGTTATGTAGCTGGCACCTGCAGAGCCACAGTATAGTTTTCTTTCCGTGCTCCTCTTTCTCTTGGCAACTGATAAAGAGCCTGACAATCATCCGACTTGAACTGGTTTTATACCGGTGTATACCGTTGACTTGAATGGAGTTGCTCCTGTTTTGAGGGGGTTTTCCAGGCAAGAAAGACTTTGTTGTTATTGGGGATAGGTATCACTGATTGAACCACAAATGTTTGCAGACAGGGTGTGCTTAAATGAGGGCTTATATTATATTTTATTTTTCAGATATTTGTTTTTAAAATACATTTTTCCGTGGCCAGTGGCTAGCAGGGAGCCTGTGCGTTAGGCTTTGGAGCAAGCCCTGCGGGGAGGAGCAGAGAGGTTGCAGAGCCGCATGCATTACTCACTCCTCAAACTACTGCTCGCATCTATTCAAACACAGCTTGCTTGGTGTGTGTATGGAGCCCCGCTAGGTATTTTGTGTTCTCTTAAGAGTACCTGAAGAGTAGTTCTGTGGCCCAGCAATGAAAGGTATGGCACATCGGGTGTCGCTTCTCATCGCCTCTCCCCTTTCCAGTTGCGCTCTTTGGGAACGTTTCTTATCCTACTGCTTGGGATATCTTGCTAGTACATTAAATCATTTACCAAGGTACAGTAACTTGCTTCTAAACCCCCTGTAGCTTAATGGAGCATTTCACTGCAAGGATTACGTTGAGGTTTCAGGCGCTGCTGAAGAAAGCTGCTGGCTTATGTGGTGACCTTTGAATCTCATCTGGGTTAGTGGTTGATATTTTGATTTGGTTACTGTGGTCATATTGTGACAGCTGCCGGTTCATTATAATTCAGTTCCTCTCCTCGGTTTGCCTACCAAGAATATTTAGGTTTGTGTTGCTTCAAAGGGCCGTAACCACCCCGAATTGAACCTGGCACGCCGCTCAAGGTGAAGCCTTGTGAACGCTTTCAGTCGCCAGCCACCGTCCACTGGACAGGCAGTAAGGGCGGAGGGTATGGTAGGGAGAAACTCGCTGCGGGAGAAAACTTGCCCTGAGGTCTACAAAGCTGATTTAACCCCATTTGTTGAACGTAGTGAAAATGAGACTAGAAAAGATCAAAAGCACTTTTCTTATTTTGTTGCACGGACAGTTTGCGTACTCTTCCCCTCCGCATGTAGTATTTCTGGCGTTCGCGGTAGTGATTTTATATATCTTATTGAAAAAGTTCCTACACTGCTAGCTAGAAGACAGTATTTAATTTCTCATATCGCTTTGAGACTCTCTAAAAGGACACAAGGTCACTGAATGTAGATCTCTTAAGAGTTGTAGGAGTTGGTCGGTGATCTAGTGTGTGAAGACAAGACCTTTGCTTGTGTTTATTTTCTCTTTGTATTGCTAAACGCAAAACGCAGAGCAGATGCAATGATTTACTCTTACCTTCCTCCCGGTTGTCTGCTTCAGGTCAATGCTGCGCTGCTTCGGGTTGCGCTCTTCCACGATCGCTTGCCCGACGTGCTTTTGGGAGGGCTGGCGCGCGCGTTTGCCAGCGACTGGCACTTGTATCGCAAAATAAATATTTTTCCCCTCTGGTTTCTTCCCTTTCCCTTTCAAAAACCTCCAAGTCATAATTTTCCTCTTAGCATTGTTGTTTCGGAGAAGGTGGCGTTTCCTGCCAGCCGGAGCGAGGGAGCGGTGCCGGTGCCAGCGCGGTGCCGGAGCTGGGGAGGCAGGGCTCCTGCCCGGGGTTCCTGGGGAGCCCGGCTCCGCTGCCGATCCGCGGCGCGCTCTTGGCAAGTCGTTTGACGTCTTTGTGCTCAAATGTGCCTTCCTATTTATCTGTCTGAAGAACGGGCGCTATATATTTTGCAGGGATATTGTGAGATGTGATGAATAACTGTCTGGAAAACATCCTGAGTTCCTTGGATACTCCTTATACATGCCAATTTTTAATATTATGTTTAACGCTATGATACACTTGTCTCTGTACGAATATTGCTGTGGCGTTCGCTTTTAATCCGTACAGCTTTGATTCTGTTACTGTTGTTATAAGTAGAACTGGAATTCTTGCAGATTAGTTAAGTTTACCCAACACAGCGTTATAAGGCCTTGCTTTCAATTGCTAAACTATAAACATTTGGGATGAAATTTTCCATGCTGTGTATCTGACTCAGCCTGATTATTATTTTTTTAACCTTCTGCAGAAATGATTTCAACATTTCCTAAAATGAGATTACATTTCATCCTGGCAGATTTTTGATTTTCTCAGTTAGTGTCTGGCACATCATGGACATTAATTCTTTTTCACACCACCTCTGTTATGTCAGGTGGCTTTGGTTCTCATTTTGCAGCTGGAGAAGTGGAGGTACGTGAGGAACCGTGAGGGAAATGGTAAAAACTGTCCAGTAATATCCAGTTGTAAATTTGAAATGCGAAAGGGTTTGATGGTCTCTCAGTTCTTGCGCTCAGTGGCACCCAAAGGTGGCACCGCTTGGGGAAATCGTGGTTGCGATGCTTTGTGTGGGTCATCCACGTTATGGGAACACGTGCTCGTAGCCACTCGCTTACCTTAGCGGTGTCTGGTTTTTTTTCTTGCTGTTCCCTCAAGCCTTTTCGGGGCAATGCAGTATTGAAGGAGCCTGGCAACTTATGGTGGATAGAAAACAAAGAAATGACTGTTATGTTTGGAAAAAAAGTATTTTCTATGTGACATACAGAAAGAAACATGTGACACCTTTTTTTTAAAAAGCAGTCAAAGGTGAATTTTCAGGAATCACAAG